ATTACACGACTAGAAAACTCACTTTGGATTCTAATGGAAAACCATTAATTGATGTAGAAAACAAAAGCATCGAAGAAATCTGGACAAATTATAAGAACCTTAGTATTAAACGATTATTGGCACTAACAATCTATGATTTCAATCAATTACTCGCCTCCTTTCTAAAGTATTTGCCTCAAAATCCTGATCTTTACACAAAAATAAATTCTATAATTTATGAAATGGAGGAACTACCAAATGTTGAATTGGATGTGTCAACTTACAATATCTTGATGACATCTTGTGTGAGGATAGGTGACTTGACTACTCTGTATGAATATTTTCAAGCTTTTTTCAATGATGATGTCAAGCCAAATACCATAAGCTACAATATTCTAATATCTGGGTATATTAACACGGAACAAAAAAGTAATCGTAGTTTATTTTTACGCAGTGCATTTTATTTTTTTGATAATATGGTGAGTCAAGGTGTCGAGAGGAACAACAAAACGTACACGCTACTAATCAAAGCATGCGGTGAAATGTATGACTATCCAAAGGCTTTAGGTTTGTTTAACAAGTTGATAGAAGATGGAATAGAACCTGATACTATAGTGTGCAATGCATTATTATCGGTTATTTCAAAAACTCATAGAGATCCTTCAAAGGCAATTGAGTTATTTAATGAAATGAAATCCAGAAAACTACAACCAACAATCATAACATATAATATTATTATAGGATTTATGAAAAAAATAGGAGAGGAACAATTGGCACTGGAATATTTTGAGCTGATGAAAAAAGATGGTATTCTACCTGATGCCAAGATACTAGAATCTATTGGTATTGTAGGTATAAAGGCGATTAGAATGTTGCGAGATGAATTCAATACAATGCCAAAGTTGATTGATTATAATTTAATGTTGTATTCCGAATTGCAAGAATCAGATTATGAAGATGCATTAGAGGTTTATAGACACATGCAAAAGCACAACGTAAAGCCTAATTTGACAACTTATGCAATAATAATAGATGATCATGTAAAAGGTGAGAAACCTGATAATGCGTTAGACATATTCAATGTTATGTTAAAAGAGAACTTGAAAATAGATTTTGGAATTTATAAAGCATTAATAAATGCATATTTGAACAATCGTGATTTGGATAAGGTTTTTTACTTGATAGATTTGTTGAAAAAAAAATCAAATATAAGATTGACGCTTGGATCGCTTGAATCAATATTGAAAACAGCAGCCAGGCTACCAGATCCATCGATTATTGAAAAGGTTTTTAAATATTTAAAAGAATCAAAAATAATAGCAGAAAATCAGAACCATAGAAATTTATATAATATTTTATTAAATAAATTAGCAAGTTCGTCATCAATAGAAATCTTAGAAAATTATTTGGATGAAATGGAAAATGACAAGATACCTATAGTATATCCAACATTTTCCAGTATAATTAAAGGATGTGGTTTAGCAAAAAAATTTAACGAAATGGAATGTTGGTATCAAAGAATGATTTTAAAATACAAGTTAAAGCCAAACTCTCAAATATTATCAGTAATAATAAATACTTTTATAGATGATAATAATTTAAATTTAAGTATAGTATATTTTAGAGAATTTTTCAAGTATGATGTTAGAATTAATGAAGATGATGTGATCAGACTGTTAAATCTATTTAGAAAATTTGGTTCAAACACACGACGCAATATAGTGTTAAATATATTAGAACAGAATGGATATGAAGATTATATAACCAATTATAACAATAGAGTACAATTGATCAAAAATAAGCTAGAGACATTTAGATGGTTAGAGGATCATAAAAAAGGTAGGTTGATGGTTGAAAGAATCATACATCAAAAAAATGCTGTTTTTAGGCATAATAATGCTTTAAGAAAATTAGAGGGCAATGCAGCTAATAGACTAAGACTTTGGCAACCTTTTAGTAAATTATTAAAAGATAAAATCAATAATTAATAATAATCAATCCCTTAACGTTTGTACAATTTATATACAATTTATAATGTGTAAATAATATATCCATATAATATTTTTTTAATAAAAGGCTTTTCATGTATAATATTTGACCCGTTTTTATTTTACAAAAACACAATCTGGCTTGAGCATGTGATTAGCCATATAATTATTTATATATATATTGAAATATTTATATATAATTAAATAGATGGTTACCAATGATTACAAATATCCGAGATTTCATCGATTGTTTTTAGCGACACATTTTGATTTTGCAGTTGTTTTGATTGATGGGCGTGGATCTTCAGATAGGGGAATAGAATTTGAGTCGTATCTTAGGGGACGTATGGGTACTGTAGAGCTGGAGGATCAAATAGCGGGATTACGATATTTAGCATCAAACAATATGGGTGTTGATTTAGACCGAGTAGCTATAACAGGATGGAGCTATGGTGGATATTTAAGTTTGATGGCATTGGCACAATACCCTGATATATTTAAATTGTCCATTGCAGGAGCACCAGTAACACAATGGGAATTATATGACACTGCTTATACCGAGCGTTACATGGGACTTCCGGCTGAAAATATAGAAGGATATCATAACGGAAGCGTTTTAACTTGGGCAGACAGATTTCCTGACAAGTATATATTAACTTTTATTTTATTTTATTTAATATTTTAATAATCTTATTTTTTTAAATATATATATGTGTATGTATAGTGAACATCGATTACTGATTGCTCATGGTCAAATAGATGAAAATGTTCATTTCAAGAATTCAGAACTTTTAGTATCAGCCTTGGTTAGACATAATAAACCACATGTATTACAACCATATCCTGCCGAACGTCACGGTCTTAGGCATGCGAATGTTGCAGAACACTTTGAAACTTTAATGTTTTTTTGGTTGTTAAATTATTTGTGATGAACTTTTTTACATGAATGTGTTGTAAATTAAAATGGTTTGTGTTCTTGGATGTTTTATTAATTTATATGTAATTTAATTCTTCGAGGAGAAAAAATGATTTTTATTTTATAATTATTTATTTGGGGATATTTTAGATATCTCAAAACATGAACATTGACATTTATGATTATTAAAAACTCTATATTAATAATAAATAGAAAATCATTTTTTTCTTATTATACATACATTTATTTTTGTACTAATAATATTTATTTATTTATTTATCTAGTGTATTTAATATTTATTCATTTTTATGTATTATAAAATCAAAAAAAATGTGTTTTATGAACAGGACCATGTGCGGGATCCTTTAAAAATTCGTCAATTCAATTACATGATATATCATAAAATTCACTTAGCAAAGACATGTAAAAACAATGACCTCGTCTTCGTAATAACGCGGTGAAAATTCTACAATCTGTAAATCGCTCACTGCATTAAGTCTACCTAATTAATTATTTTATGATATTTAGACAATTGACAAAATAAAAGGCTTATATAATATAATATTACAATAGTTATGATAACTTAGTACACTAACCAGCTCTTGGATATCGGTATTCTTCTACTTCGCTTGGTGATCCAGGCCTTGATATTAAAACTAAATCTACCATAGACTCTGATATCTGTAAGTAAAGTATACGTTCTAAAGTATCTTTCATATATTTATTAGTTGAAGTGGGTGCCCAATAATAACCCGTAAAACGATGGAATTCTTCCTTTGATGGATAAATAACATGACTTAGTATAATATATAATATATACACGCACACAACATGTAGGTTACAATACTTAAATAATAATAATGACAAATAATAGATATCAATTGAAATAATTCCGTACTTGCATCACAAATTCTGCAACTCCACAACTTAGTGCAGAATTACCATCTGGATCATGATCATTACAAAATGTTAATTGTGTTTCGCAGCCATTCATTGTACTAACCCATATATCACGATCTCTAATGAATGCAACGAGATTTTGATTTTGACCACCCAGTTTTGGGTCTAATCGTGGCGGTAATAAGTTATTATTATTATTGTTGGGGGAGGTACAGAAAGAAGGGAGAGGTGGTGGCGGTGAAGAGGAGGAAGAAGAGGTTGTTGAAGGAGAAGTGATTGGTGATAAATTGTTGTGATGTGGTGAGTGACTAATTTGGGAAAAGTTCATTGAATTTCCAGAAAATATTATAGAGCTAGAACGAGGCGTTATTGGTATGGGATTAAATTCACCATTCTATATAAAATTTGTTATGCAATTAATATCACTAATTTTTCAAATGATTAATAAAGCTTTTTTTATAAATCAACAAATCACCTCGCCAATATGTCCTAAATATATTCCACTGCCATAACTGAAAAGAATTTGACAACCGATTGGATCGAATTGATAGCTAGCAATTCCTTGTAAGGCTAGCCTCCTTCGTTCCTTCACAAACAATTCTTCTCTCGATAATGTTTCAGAAAAGGATTTTTCTTTTAACCATAATTCTGACAATAAAGGTCTCCAATGAACAACTGGTAACTTATTTGATAAAATTGTTGTTGATGAATTTTTTAATGCCTGTTTTTTATTTGATTTCAAATTTGAAATATATATGTGGTCAGAATTTGTTGGTATTGTAGTTGTTATTGATTTATCGCATGAAATAGATTGTGGAAAGGTAAAAGGAAAGTCTGCAACAAAATATATAAAATATGATTTAGACCAATTAAATAATCATGTAATATAAATATATATGTATACGTTCACGCGTGTATGTATAAATTTCTGTTTACATTAAAAAATTACAAATAAATATTTTAAAAAAGAGTCTAAATATCTATGGAACTGGGAAATAAATAAATAAAAATAAAAAAAGTAAATCCCACCAAAAACAGTTCGCTAAGTATAACAAAACTAAATATAAAATATTGATAATATTATATTATTTTTTTTTGGAAAAAAAAAATACCTTAATCAATTGATACAAACTTTCACTTACCTTTAACCTGAAATTCATTGTTTGAAAAGCTAAAAGAAAATTGATTATGAACTTTGGAACATATTTCATCATTATTGTTGTCGTTGTTGTCGTTGTTGTCGTTGTTGTCGTTGTTGTCGTTGTCGTCGTTGTCGTCGTTATTTTCCATAAGCTTTTTTTTACACTCGTGTTCTTTCAAAGATGGCAAATCAACCACAAATAATGTTGATGTTTTCATCCATGAAGAATCTGTAGCCAAGAAATATGCGCGATTACTTTCCTCATCAAAACAAAAGTCTTTAATGTTGACAACATTTGAAGGTTGTATTGAACTACGATAATTTCTAACTTCTCGACGTATTTGTTCCCAAGTTGAATTTATCATTACTGTTTTATTTTGTTTTTTTGGAATATATGACAAGTACAAGTGTAAAAATATTGTGGGAAAGATTATGATGTTTGTACAACGCTAAATGGGTATAGACAAAAGTGAACAGATGACTTGTTAAAACCACCTACATCCCTTTTTGGTATAAGATAGTCATTACATCCAACCTGTACGTATCAGGTTAGACATATGCATTGGAGATCCCCGCAAACTTCGTAGACAGTAACAAAAATTACTATTACTGTTCGTTATATGATTTGACCAGCCAGAATTAAAGTTTAATATAACTTGACCCTAAAGTCTGTAATAACATTAGAAAAAAGAACATAATTTGACCCATAATATATACAGGACACTGGTGTTCTTTTTGCAGAAATAAGATACTCGTGTAACTTCTACAAAATAATCCTCGCGACTTTTCTGATATATTAAAAAAAAAGAGAGACTCTTCAAAAGGTTAAAAAAAATTTATAATATTTTTAGCAGAAATTAAAAAATTATTTAGTGTTAATTTTTTTTACTTATAACACAATAGATGTTTATATAGCTGCTTTTGCAAGAACTCCTCTTGGTGGTTTTAATGGATCATTAACTTCTTTTACAGCAACAAAACTTGGCCCCATTGCTGTTGAAGGTTAAAAATGGGCAATTAATAATTGTCAGCATAATAATTGATTTTATTAACAATAATTTTCAATAGTTTTTTTTAATTATTTACCAGCTGCCTTAAAAAAAAGCTAACATTAGTCCTGAGCTTGTTGAAGAAGTCTTTTTTGGAAATGTTCTTTCTGCTAACCTTGGTACTGACTGCACTGCATGCATATAATTACTAATATCTATGATTTTAAATAAAAAAGTCTAATAAATTTTTTATAAATAATATATTACTAGGTCAGAATCCAGCATGTCAAGTAGCTTTAGGTGCAGGTATCCCAGACAAAGTGATTGCCACAACAGTTAATAAAGTGTGTGCATCAGGTATGAAATCTGTAATTTTAGGTGCCCAAACCATCATCACTGGAAATGCTGATGTAAGTTAATTATTGAATATAACATTTAATAAATTCTGTATCTAGATTTTACTCAATTATATATACATATAATATGATAGATTATTGGTTTCTGGTGGTACAGAATCTATGTCAAACACACCTTATTATGCCACAAAAACAATATTTGGTTCTAAATATGGGGATCAAACACTTGTTGATGGTATTATAAAAGATGGCTTAACAGATGTCTATAATAGTTATCTTATGGGCATTGCTGCTGAAGAATGTGCTGAAGATTATAATATTACTTGTGAAGAACAAGTAAATAATAGTAGTTATATTTATTGCATTAAAAATCATTTTCAATTTATTGTTTAGAATGATTATAATTTTTATAATTTTTATAATTTTTAGAATGATTATGCTATTTATTCATATCAATGTGCACAAAAAGCATTTGCAGAAAATAAATGTTCGGATGAAATTGTTCCAATAAAAGTATCTGGTGGTAGAGGTAAACCTGATAAAATAATTACACAAGATGATGAAGTTAATAATGTAAGCTAGTTTAAATTTTTTTAAAATAAAAAATCCAGTAATACATGCTAATCATTTAAATATATCTTGTAAATATAATAATAGTTAAATGTTGATAAACTGCGTGCTGTGAAGCCAGCATTCATTGACAATGGTAGTGTGACAACTCCCAATTCTTCGCCATTAAATGATGGTGCAACAGCTATTGTTCTAATTAGTGGAGAGAAAGCTAAAGAGTTGGGTATTAAAGTTGTTGCAAAAATTTTAGGTTGGAGTGATGCTGCTCAGGTAAATTTATATTTAGTTGGTGGATGTTTATTTATTTATATAAATTATGATTATTTAATTAAAAATTGTTGTATAGGCACCAGAAAAATTTACAACATCACCATCTGTAGCCATACCAAAAGATTTATCTCATGCAAAAAAATCACTTTCAGATATTGATTATTTGGAGATTAATGAAGCATTTTCTGTTGTTGCTTTAGCAAATTTAAAATTGCTTTCACTAGATAAAGAAAAAGTCAATGTTTTTGGTGGTGCAGTTGCAACGAGTCATCCATTGGGTTGTTCAGGGGCTAGAATTATTGCAACTTTAACCAGTGTGTTGAATAGATAAAGATGGAAAATTGGCTGCGCATCAGTTTGTAATGGTGGTGATGCTAGTGCTATTGTCATTTCATTAATTGTATAACAGCTTTATCTAATATGACAAGATATTTATATTTTAATTTATGCAATCCAAATATTTCATATTAAGAAAGACAAATGGGGTTTGTACTAGGAAAATCAAGCTTCGAGGTCCCAAAACCAAAATGGATATTTTTGATGCAATTCAATCTATTACACAAGGATTATAAATGATTAAAGTTTCAGAGGGTGTTAACTTAATAAAACCTTGTACAATGGGGTTTTCTTTTTTATATTAAAATTTTTTTTAGACGAATTTAGAAATGATCACCATTTTGCGCACACCTTCAAATTAAAGAAAAAAAATTTATTATTTTTATAGATTTGGATTCGGATTTGAACAATAAATATCCTTATATGGTTCATCAACATGTTGACGAATTTTTGTATATAAATATTTTTTTCTTTCTTCTGATGGTGGTGATACTGAAAAAATCTCTAGAGGATCATGTGGATTAAAATTATTTTTTAAAAGAGAAAAAGAATATTCAACTCCATTTGATTCTTTTGAAACATGAACTTTTCCAATATCATTTTTTGTAAACCGAAATTGATAATATTGTCTGATTTGAGGTAAAGGGTTAAAATGATCTTTTAAAAGTGTGTTAAAATCATACCATATCCAACCCAATCCATTATCATATCTAATTGCTTCATTAGCTTCAGATGAAATATTAACAATGTGTTCAATATCATCAACAGTGTTTACACGATGATTTCTATACACTTTTTTAATTTGACCAAAAAATGAGTCACAGATAAACTTGGTATGTCCAGGAATCATAAAATTAACCATAATTTCATCAAACCAACCAGACATTATCAACCACAACCAAAACCAAAGAGTTAGGTTGTTCTTATTTTGTGCAGTACAATTATCACAAGTAATTTGTAAATTTTTTACACCATCTATGGAAAATTTTTTAAGAGAATTAAACACCATATTTAATGTTGTATTAGCACCTTTAGAAACCCCACAAGGAAATTCATTTTCAGCAATTATAAAACTTAGTTGATGATTTTTTTCTCCTGTTTTACAAACACCAAAAATATTTACAGCAAATGGTATTTTAAAATAAATTGATTCAACTTGTTGAGGAGAATATGGGATGCCAACATTCTGAGCCCAATCATAACAGATATGCAGGAATGATGAATCAGTTTTACTTTTTTCTATATTATTATTATAATGCATACGTTCATGATTTGCACATTCACGGTGTCCCTCATATTCTTTTTTTGTTTTTTCATAATTTTCAACATCAGATTTTGCAACTGCCATTTCTGCTTTAAACATTTCAC